CTGCCCTCAGATGTTGATCTTGTAAGAATAGGGGTCATAGGTCAGGATAGACAGACCTCAAAGGATCTGGCCTATCAATTCATGCCTGAAAGATTTCTCTGCCACAATGGGAACCTACTAAACAGCAAATTCCTAAATCTAATCACACAAGTATCAGGGTGAAACAGTTATTTATTGGAATTCATCAATTTACATTTTTTTCAAACACCTCCAGTAAACAGCATTTTAATTTTCTTTTGGAAACAAGTTCTGGGATATAGTAAAAATGAAAATAATTCCACCAAAGGACTTCTTAAAGTAAAACAGCAAAGCCTAAGCATAGGCTTATTATTTTCAGGAATGCTATTAAGATTTCAAAAGACACAGCACTAGATTCCCACATAAAGTAACTGGAAACCGCCGGATCATACAATGGAGACAATGAATGGAGAAGGCTGCTGAGCACAGAAGTGGGGTGAAGGAAGAACTACCAGTATCCAATTTGTAGCTGTCCTGTCTGCAGGGTGAACAAGGCCATCGTGGAAACATTCTTCACAGATAAAGAAAACATACAGCTCTTCACTAAGCAACACTTGACGATTTTTCTAACACAAATCTCTTACAAATCTTTCTTACAAATGTAAAATAATTTGAGTCCACAAAATTATAGTTTCGTAAAAATTAACTATCATGAATCTCATATAAAAACCAGGGTTATTGTGTCTTTCTTACAAATGTAAAATAATTCGAGTCCACAAAATTATAGTTTCGTAAAAATTAACTATCATGAATCTCATATAAAAACCAGGGTGACAGATAGTGTGTGTGTGTGTGTGTGTGTGTGTGTGTGTGTGTGTGTGTGTGTGTAACTCATGAGTTGAGTTTAAACCAGATGCCATAATTAGATTCTATTTATACTTACCCTGGTCTTTTTGGCCATAAAGATAGCATTATCACAATGTGTCATTTCAATATTGGACTACCAGGAATGTCAAACTCAGAATAAGTATAAATAAAAACCATCTAGGACTAAAGTCTCTTTAATAGTACCACATAATGGAACTTCCACTCAAAAAAAAAAAAAACAATCAAAAAAACCTTAGCAATTAACATTCTTTAGAAACAAAATACTACTTTAAGTTATATTTAAAAAAGTACTACTATAGTTTACAAAATTAAATATTGCACCAAATTAATTGGAAGCACTAGAATATACTCTCAGTTACTTTTAAAAATCTAAATTATTTTTTAAAAATTCAAGTCACCACTGTTACAAAAGGCCTTCCATTATTATCAGGGTGTGTGGTTGGGTCAGAAGATGTGGAAGGTTAAGGAGAACAAAGACAACAGTCACTACACTGGGGAAGCAGAATTATAAGAGGGAAGAAGAGAAACTGTAAATAGACAAGTCCCAGAACCAGATATCTATCCCACAGATACATCTTTCATACGTGAATCAATTACAGATGTTCTTAAAAGTTACACACATTTCATTTACTAAGTAGTAGCAGTATCACTCCATCGGTACAAAGATTTCTAGGCCATTAGTCTCACTGCAAATCTGTTTAGTCATTCCAAATATCTGCATGTATAAATTAAAATTTCATAATGAAAGTTAATTCCATAATATAATCTGACATTATTAATTATGTAAATACAGTGATAGACAAAATTATCATTTTATTAGTCTATCTCAAATTTAAGTGTTAAAATTTATTTTTTCATAGTAAACTGTGTTCTTTAGAGAAAGGTACCAAGAATGGCCTAGTTTTTTAGAAAAAACTATCAGCTACCTTCATTTTATAAAGAAGAAAGTTACAAAGGTTTTTTTGTCTCCTTACTCTTCTGAAGATGAACATAAAACAGACTAAACAGTAAGTACAAAACTATTTCATCTAAAATTGTAAGAAATCTTTACTAACATGGAAGACTCAACTTTACAGAATGAACACTCTTCATTTTAACAGACAGTATCTAAACAATTCATATGATTCATAAAGAAAATGAATCAGCCTAAATGTTACACCAGATACACAGCTAACTCTAATTGGATAATTGAACTAATACAAAACATATAACAATAGGAATTAAAAAAAAAAGCAAGTCAGGCAGCGGTGGTACATGCCTTTAATCCCAGCACTTGGGAGGCAGAGGCAGGCAGATCTCTGTGTGTTCAATGCCAGCCTGGTTTACTGAGAGAGTTCCAGAACATCCTCCAAAGCTACAGAGAAACCCTGTCTTGAAAAAACAAAAAACAAAAAGCATCCTACCAGAGAGACATGGAAGAAATACTGTGATCTGGTTGGTAAGCAAACAATTCTCTTATTTATTTATTTATTTATTTATTTATTTATTTATTATGGGAAACAGTGCTTCTCTTATAGCCCTGGCTATTATAGAACTCACTCCCTATAGCTGGGTCCAAATTCAGACATCGCCTGTCTCAACCATCCATGTGCTACGATTAAAGAGGGGAGCCACCAAGCCCATCTTGTAAGCAAATGATTCTTAAACATGACACCAAGCAAAGGTTAAATAAACTATCCTTATCAAAATAAAAAATTTTCACACTACAAGATTATTTACAGGAAAGGAAAACAGGATATCAAATAGAAGAAAATATTTGGAAAAGTTCATCTGGAAAATGCCCTGTATCACAATGTATATTAAAAGCACAAGAAAATAAAGATCTCAGTTAAAAAAAAAAGACATGGTTCACCAGAGGACAAAGATAGCAGCATCAAAATGCCTTGAACAATATAGCCATGACAATATACCGCAATTACCATGACCATTATATATATGGGTAGCTAGGCTTATGTCCAGTTGGAAAACATCAATTACTGGCAAAAATGCATAGCAGGTGGCTGGAACACTGCTGACAGAAACGCAGGAGAATGTGACTCCAAGGTAAACACATACCCATGACCACAGTATATAGCTGTTCAATTCTAAAACCAAAGACTAATGTGGGCAAACTCACACCTGAGTCTTTGTAGATGATGTTCATAACTGCCACACCTGGAAAATACCCAAATCCCTCAACAGATGAATTAGATAGGCACTGTTATAGCTTAATAATAGAATATTACCCAACAGTATAAGAGAATGAACTACTGACACATTCAACACTGCAGATAAATTTCAAAAGCACAATAATGAAAGAAAAATGGAAAATTTCAAAAGGTTGTGAAACAAATAAATGTATTCATATGCCACCAACAAAAACAAAGCCAATCATAAGATGAAGGAATATGTTACTGGTTGCCAAGGTGATACATTAGGTGTGGGTAGCATAAAAGGTCATGAGAAGTTGTTTGCTGGGGGTGGTAACTGACTGTTCTGTGTAATTCATAATGGTGAGGGGGTAATGTATGCATGTGAGAATGCATAGAACTGTGAATAAAAATGCAAATTGTTATGACAATTTGGTAAATAAAATAAATATTCCAAACAAGGAAAACATACAAAAATGAGCCAATGTTAATTTTTCTGTTAAAGAGGAATTAACTGGAACTCTGCCTTTTTCATGCTTCATTGAACTAATCATTACTATCATTTTTTTTAACCATCCAGTGTTAAGACCAAGGTTTTACATATACCAAGGCAAGAGATTCCCCATGAATCCATATTCTCAACCCTAACACCATTATTTTCAATATTTTATAAGCTTTAAGTTCAAAGGGGCTTATTCCAGTATCCAACTCTCTTCAGTGTGCTTCTCTTCCACAATAACCCTTATACATTAGGGTTATTGTGCTAAATTTTTTGAAAGTTGAATCTAACCACATCCTTTCTGTTTACCTTTACACTTAAAAGCATAGAAGACTAAGAATTGTGTGTTTTGAAACACTGGGATGAATTGAGGTTGTCATTTGTTTTGTGCGCTGATCTCTTAAATTAGATGGAGGTTATTCATCTTCAGCAAGGCTGTCATGGAAGTAAGGCTGTGCAGTATTCTGTAATCAGATACCATACACTTTAAGTCTTCCCATTACTGATCATTTTTATCTCTGACTATGTGATCAAGATGTTATGGGCCAAAGTTCTCTATTCATTTACTTTTGAAATGAGTAAGCATTGTGTTGGAGGAGATGTCTTAAGTAATTCATTCCTTATCACACTGAAAATTTTTCCTTTCTTTAGTCAGAGCCATTTGTTTCTCCCCTTGATTTATAATCTATAGAATTGCTATTGACTTCAGTGCTCAAATTTCCACTCCTAGCAACATGTCCTAGACAGCTTCCACATTGTTTGTCAGGTCCCTATCATTGTTTTAGATACTGCTCATCATCTAACTCCATCTTCATGTATGCTAAGAGTAAACCACTCCCCATCACAGTCAGACCTCAGAGCTGTGCTTTCAGTTTCATCTTTAACCCAAGGAATCACTGCAACCACCATCTCCTCTCTCCTGCATGTTGACGCTTCCTTTTCTATTAAACCATTCCCCAGCAACACATACACATTCTGTAATTTCTTAACCTTTAGAAAATGCCCCCATCCTGTTGCTGCTTCTGCTTCCTCTCCTGTCATTCTCAGCTGAACAAGATGCACATGCTTTCACTCCCACCAGTCTGCAGAGCTATTCTTATCATGCCCATTAGTCACTTCTGTGTGGCTAAGCTGTTGGCATCTCAGTGGTCATTGTGATCATGTATCATCAGAATCTTTGAACGGTTTTGGTGCCTACCTCCTTGATTTCTCTTTCCCAGTCTTCCAAAACAAAACCTTTCTGTTCCCATTGCTTCTGCATTTTCTTTCACTGCTACTTCTCAGTGCTAGAAAGATGCAGGGCAGATTCCTCTTTTCGTTATGTGTATAAATATCATTTCACTGACTACTGCTGAACTTTAATTTTCAGCCCAAGACCCTCCATGTCATGTACTTTTCCACCTAACTTGTAGCCCTCTTGCATTCATCATGCCCAGAGCAAGCTGTGGATGTATTGCTCCTTCTGCAGTTTTTCCCATCTTGGCAACTGGTCCCTCTATGTTTCTTGTTGCCCAGGCCAAACAAACCTTGGAATCATCCTGGACTCCTCTTCTCTCACAGTCCACATCTGATCCATCAGTAAGTCCTGCCGTCTCCACCTTCAAAACATATAGGAATTTTGCTCACCACTTCTTTGTCTACCACCCACTTCTCCAAACCACACCATCTCTTTCTGGCATACTGGAAAAGCATCTCTGATTCATTTCTCAGTTTCCATCCTTGCTTCTCCAAATTAACTAAAGTGACAGCTGTCAGGAGACACTTTATGGAATGTCATGATTTAGATCTAAATGCTTCTGAAGAGCTCAAGTTAAAGGCTTGGCCTCCAGGAAGCAGGGCCTTTGGGAAATGGTTTACTTTAGTAACATCAATGGGTTCATAGCTTAACAGGAAATTGGGTTTAAGAAGGTGGGATCTAGTTGGCAAAAACAGATTTCTGAGGATGTACCTTCAGGGCCTCTGCCAACTCTCTCTTCTTTCCAATAGTCATGAAGTGAGAAAAATTAATTTTTCCTCTTTTAAGTTAATTTTTCCAAGTATTTTGTGATGGCAAGAAGAGAGGTAAACTGGATTGTGAGATTATGTTGCTTTTTAAACTAATTCTAATGATGCTCTATTTTTTCTATATCAAAGTTCATATATGCAGCAGTCAAATGCTACAAAAGACAAAAACCATTGAGGTCCACAGCTATGTAATTAGAAAAACCTAAATAACATTCAGAAAGCCATGTCGATTTTGTTTTTTTTTTCTCTAATTATTTTAGGCAGCAGTTTAGTACCAGGTGCCAAAAACTTTCAGTACATAATTTTTGGTCTACATTTTCAGTAGTAAATATTTATTCTAAGAATATAATCAGACAATATTTTTAAAGTGTACACATAAGAATTGATACCATAGCTGGGCTTTGGTGGCACACGCCTTTAATCCCAGCACTCGGGAGGCAGAGGCAGGAGGATCTCTGTGAGTTCGAGGCCAGCCTGGTCTACAGAGCAAGTTCCAGGACATCCTCCAAAACAATACAGAGAAACACTGTTTTGAGAAACCAAAAAAAAAAAAAAAAAAAAGGAATTGATACCATGGTGTTGACTTCAAAGCACAAAAAACAGACTCAATGGCCCTGACAGCATTGCTTGTAAATTCTGGCAGATTCATAAAGTGAGAATGTATGCAAGTGTTCATTAATGACATCCAAGAGTTGGTTTTAAAAAAACAAAAACAACATATAGTTTATGTCTTCTACCTGCATTTGGGATTTCTAGTGACTTTTCCCACTAATGTCAGTTTTTTAATGTTTAGATTTTCAAAGTGTGAGTCGTCATTTTAAAAACAAAGCAGTAAGTATACTCTCATTGGAAAAAGCAAGTGGAGAATCAGAAAACTGTACAGAGAGGCATTTCTTGTGTAAGAATCTCAGCTCCTCCTGTCTTCCGGTAGTATAGGGAATGGTAATCATAGCACTATACCACACTTCATGCTAACTGTGGCTCAGTACTCTGAAGATAGTGCAAACTGTAAGACAAGACTGTCTTTTTTACAAGTCTACCTCAGCTATACAGTGAACACGTTTTCTTTTGTGTAGGCTCCATAAAATCCCTAAGGAGAGTGATGAGAAAATTTTACATATATTTTCCAAATACAATACACTTGTAAGTCAGACAAGTTCCTTACCTATCTCCCTTTGGTTTTCTTCTTTGCTGTGTCTTCCCTTTAGGTCTTCTTTCACTTCCTAAGCAGGGGCTCCCACCTGGGCCTGTTACCCTTATTGATTCAAGGCCTTTGGGTGACTTTTTAAATGTAAATTCCACTGGCTCTCCTTCTTTCAAGCTCCTAAATCCTTCCATGAATAGTTTGCTCTGCAAAGAGGAGGGAAAAGAGACAGATAATGATTGACACTGCTTTATAAATTATCTGTATAATTTTGAGATTATCAAGGAATTCTGTTATCCATTACAAAAGCATAGGTTTTTTTAAATTTTATTGAAGTTTGATAAATGTTTCAATGCTGGCAATTGAAAGCCTATATCACTGTGTAAAAAGCAATTTTGTGATACAGAAATATAAATGTACATACACATTCTAGTCCCATCCATTCAATCGACCACAAATGTTCTAGTATGGAACCAAAGCGATGCCACCATCCTGACCCGAACTCAGTCCCCAGGACCACATAGGAAAGGAAAGAACTGACTCCAAGCTGACCTCTGACCTCCACATGTGTACCATATCCATACACACCTGTGCGTGCACACACGTACACACGCACTAAATGCAATGACACTTTTAAAAAGATCCTACTATATATAAACTCACATAGAGATTCATTTTTTAAGCAACTACCACACTGTCTGATTAAAGAAATTATATCAGCCTCAACAACATATATGTGTGTATGTATATGTGTGCATATATATATGTATATATATATATAATGGATATACTATTTAGTGGTATATCACTGAATATAACCTGCCCAGTCTGTATAATGTTGATCATATGCATGTTTTTAGGGATAGTCATTTGATACGGGGTCAAAATATAGTTTTTAAAGACTATTTTTGTAGAGATGGAGTACAGAGCAATACACTAAATAGCCACTTTCTCTACTCTGCTGTAAAGCAAAAAGTTTTCTATATGATACCTGATTGTGTTTTGGGAGTATTTTATTTTATTATTTATTTATTTATTTATTTTGTTTTTTTGAGACAGGGTTTCTCTGTCTGTCCTGGAACTAGCTCTTGTAGACTAGTCTGGTCTCGAACTCACAGAGATCCACCTGTCTCTGCCTCCTGAGTACTGGGATTAAAGGCATGTGTCACCACCACCTGGCTTGGGAGCATTTTATACTAGAACAACGGACTTATATAACTTATTTAAATTTTTTTCTTAATTATAAAATTATAACCTGGGTTTCAAATATTCTTTCTCTCTTTTAATATTACTTTTTCTGTCAAGGTGAACATGCTGATTCAAAATGTACTAAGATAGTTAATCTTTGTTTTTTTATTTACCTGTCTAGATTCCTTTTTGTGTATTTCCCAAATCCAACTCAAAAGACCTCGTAGTCTGTAAGGACTGTTCTGTTCTAATGTGGAGACTGTGCAGTCTGTAAGGACTTTTCTGATTTGTCTGGTAAAGAAAAGAAGCAGTTATTGTCTTTTCTGTTGATGCATAAACCCAGGCACTTTGTTCTTAGTAACTACAAATCTGAAAAAGAAACTGTGAGTGCAGGGTTTGTTCCAGTGGCTGTGAAAAATGCTGTTTCTCCTAGGAACAGCCACCTTATCATATTAGTATCAGAATTGTCCTCCCCTTCCCAACTATCTCCAGTGTGAAAAATCTTAATGCTGTTCAATCCAGCAATATCCTGACTTAGATGATCAGAGACCAGAAAAATCATTAAAGTTCACAACCCTAAAACCATCTGCCAGGGTTTAGACATGTATTGCACCTGTCCCCAAATATTCACAGCTCCCAAGTTGGGAAATAGTGTGCAGTTTTCCAGGGTCTGGGTCTACTAGGAGGCCCAAAGGTCAACTGGACTAGTGCTTTCTAAAGAGACTGGACTGAATGAAGTCCCTGACTTCATGCTTTGTAATGTAATCTCTTGCACCATGATGCTGCCTGTCCACTGGGTCTTTCCACAGGCAGAAACAATGCCCTGCAAACCTCCTCAACTGTGAACCACACAAGTCTCTCCTATGTGTAAAACTTGTCTTCAGTACAGTAACAGTAAACTGACTGCTAGATACAGGAGTCCCCTTTTCCCCTTTTGCTACCTACCTTCCAAGGTAACTAATTAGAAAATATTAAATGACAACATTCAGAAATAACTGATAAGCATGATGAAATTTCTGGCACCCCACCTGATCCCAAGGATGAATCATCCCTTCAGTATTCTGTGTATGTACTTCCTACCTGATCATTAGTGACTAGGCATCATGGCTATCAAACCAACCTGGAGGTAGTGAGAGGTAGTACGCCACTTCTGTTTAAGCCATCCTTACCTAACTGAAAAATGGCCCCTAAGGAAAATAGTACTGTTGACAATGCAGTTATACTAGAATGATGCTACAGAGTCCTTTAAGTTAAAAGGTGAAAGGTCATGACTTAATAAGGGCAAAAAAACACAGCCACAAAAAATCAGGAATTAGGATAGGTTTACCACCACTGATTCTACATTAAAAAGTATAGTAGAACATGATGAATTTTTTAATATGCCAGTAAAATAACAACTTAGAAAAATGATCAAGTCTTTGAAAAATAAGACAAGATTTCATACATTGTCTCTGGCTCACAATTCCCACCGCCATTATTATTTCCTTATGTGATGAGAATGATATTGGTGTGTTTCAGACCTTAGAACCCCAAAGTTCTTCCCCTCTGACCTTCTCCTCTTTCCTTTAACCTGTTCTCTTGTTTTCCACAAGGAAGATCAGAGAGATTTAAAACACTCTACTCTCTATTTACCTTGGAGCTTTCAGCCATTAAGAAAATCCCTGACCTAGTTATCTTGTCTGGCAGTCCACTCAGAAATGGCCATCTATCTCCCCAAAGGAGGAAAACCATTAACTGTGGTGATATCTTGCTTGTGCAAATAAAGCCTGTCTGAAGGTCAGAGAATGGAATTTGTCATTAGCTAACCATAGAGGTCTGTAGGTCTGTACAGACAGACAGGAAGTGAGATGGATGGGAAGAAACAGGAAGTGAGATGGCTGGGCGGAGAGAGGATATGAGCAGGATCAACACCAGTATACAAGAAAGGCTCAACATAGCCAAATCAATAAGCACAATAGACCATATCAAAGGAATGGGAGAACAAAACAAATTATCTCAGTAAAACACAGAAAGGACAACTGATTAAATTCAACATGATGAAAATTCAGCACAAAACTACAGAAGGAACATACTTATATACAACAAAAGGCATTTCTAGTAAATCAACAGTTAACATTACACCAAAGAAAAGTTAAATGAGTCCTCGGTAAGAAACAGAACAAAACAAGCACATCTACTTTCATCACTTTTATTCAATACTGGGAGTCCTAGCCAGACAATCAGACAACAGAAAGAAAAGTGGGAAGAGAAAGTCAAATCATAACATTTTGAAGATGACCTGATCTTACATGTGGAAAACTCCAGAGAGTCTATGAAAAACAATTCATAAGAACTACTGAATGAACAAAGTTGCAAAACATAAAATGAACATGAAAATCAGTACTGGTGAATGGCAATAGCAAATTATTTAAAATAGAGATAAATCTCAAACAAAAAATATACTATCCAGGAATAAGGAGGTGAAAGAGCTCTATAAAATTGTAAGGCACTAAAAATGAAACTGAAGACAATATACAAATTATGGAGAGAGTATCCACTTTCATTAATTAGAAGAAATAACATTAAAATGTCCATATTGACAAAAAATGATCTCTACCAAAATATCAATGACATTTTAAAAAAACGTTTTTAAACTATTTTGTGAATTTTATACCATGTTTTGGTCATATTCTTCCCCCCCTCCCAACTCATCCTAGGCCCACCCCCCATCTCCCTTCATCCTCTTTCTCTTGGGAGTCCAGTTAGTGTTGACTAACAATGATTGCAGATGGGACCTGCTCTAGTGTGGCTGATATACGGTGTCACTTGGTTGAAAAAAAACCTCTGCTTTCCCCTCTCACAACAGCTAACAGTTATGATCAGCTTCCTGGCTGGGGACGTGACTTAGTACCCACTTCACCTCCTCTAACGCAGGAGTTTGTCTCGAAGATAAGCAGGTTCTACACTTTGTATAGAAACACAAAACAACTTCCAAGTAGCTAAACCAAAAGAACAGAAGACATTACACCACCTGACTTCAAAGTATAATACAAAGACAAAAAAGTACAGCAGGCATGACAGTACAGTTCTGTAATCCCAAAAGCAGAGGGTAGGTGGATCTCTGAGTTTGGGGCCAGTGTGATCTGCATAGTGAGTTCTAGGATGACCAGGGTTGCACAGTGAGACCTTGTCTCAAAATACAAAGAAAATAAATAAATTAAAAAAAAGAAAGGAACAAAGGAACAAAAGAAGGCAAAAAGAATAGCTGTTTGAATGGGAAGGGGGAGGAGACAAGCCTTTTCTGTAGAGGTAGTCCAGTGATAGGTTAACTTCAAGAGGAACCTGAAGGATCTTGATGTTAAAATGTCCATGTGGTTCTCTATTCTCTACTAAGTTCAACTTGTGTCAAGTTGACATAAAATAGACAACACAGGGACCAAACCAAAGGCCACAAACATAGTTCTAACTACCGAGTTATGTTCATTCCTAAAAGCTATTTGAAAAGGAATAATCAGTCACAGCATATTATAATTGTGCTGTGAAGCATAATTGTGCAGCTAAAATAACTATGAAATGTTACTTTTTTTTTTTTTTTTTGGTTTTTCGAGACAGGGTTTCTCTGCGGCTTTGGAGGCTGTCCTAGAACTAGCTCTTGTAGACCAGAGCTGGTCTCGAACTCACAGAGATCCACCTGCCTATGCCTCCCGAGTGCTGGTATTAAAGGTGTGCGCCACCACCACCCGACAAAAAATGTTACTTTTAAAAAGATATTACTTCTCATTATTTTAAACACACACACACACACACACACACATAGAGAGAGAGGAGAGTATGTGTGTGCACACACATGATATTCACAGAGGCCAAAGCCATGAGATACCCCTTTAGCTGGAGATGGTTGTGAAAAGCCCAACATGGGTATGGAGAACTGGACTCAGGTCCTCTGCAATAGTAGTAATGCTCTCAATCACTGAGCTATCTCTCCAGCACCTTAAAGGTTTACTTAACCAAAAATTCTGCTGCTTGTGCTTGTTTGGGA